CAGGAGTAGGAATAACAGGCAAGGAGGCCAACTCTGGTTCAGGCCCCAGCTCATCCAAGAGGTTAACCTGGGCTAAGATGCAAGCCCGACGGGAAAAGGGCCTTTGTTATGCATGTGGAGACAAATTCGGGACGGGCCATCGCTGTAAGATCCCTCAAGTTTTCTTCCTTCAACCTGAAACCGAATATGTCGAGCAATCAACAGACATTGAAGAGCCAATGGACAACCAAGAATGGGGGCAATGGACAAAGGAATACCTGGAAGTATCCCTGCAAGCCTTGACCGGTCTTGCTTCTTCTCAAACTATGAGAGTAACCGGACTGGTACAAGGGTGCCATGTGCCGGTTCTGATAGATAGGGGCAGCACCCTCAATTTCATTACCCAAACATTGGTCAGACAACTAGGAATTCCGGTCCAACCATGTACAGYCTTCCGGGTGCACGTAACTAATGGGAGCAACCTGGTGTGCGACAGTACGTGCACAGAATTAAAGATGAAGATACAAGGACATGAGTTCGAGGTAGATCTRCACCCCCTGGAAATCAGTRGAGCAGATGTAGTTCTCAGAGTCCAATGGTTAAGGCAACTAGGGCCGGTGATATGTGATTGGGCCCGTCTCACCATGGATTTTCAAGTGGGCAGCTCACAGGTGCATATTCAAGGGCAGCTGTCCAAGGGTCCAGGACCTATTAGTCTCGCCTCCCTAAGGAAACAAGCAGCAGACCCAGCCCACATCGTTTTAATGAAGATAGACTCCCACGGGAACGGCCCCATTCTAGCCCAAGGAAGCAAATCCGAAGAAGGCCGCACACAACTACAGCAACTACTTCAGAAGTTCTCAGTGATCTTCCAAGAACCTAAGGAACTACCACCGAAATGTGCCCATGATCATTGCATTCCATTGCTGCCCGGAACTGCACCCACAAATGTAAGACCCTATCGTTACCCCTATTTTCAGAAACTAGAGATTGAGAGGCAAGTGCAAAATATGCTTGACAGRAAAATTATACAACCCAGCCAAAGCCCATTCTCCTCGCCAGTATTGCTTGTGAAAAAGAAGGATGGGACATGGTGGTTTTGTATAGATTATAGAGCTCTAAACAACATTACTGTGAAGGATCGATTTCCCATACCGGTAATCGATGAACTACTAGATGAACTCGGCAGGGCCACCATATTCTCTAAACTAGACTTGAGATCGGGATATCATCAAATTCGGGTCCATGAGGGAGACATCCACAAGACTGCCTTTCGTACACAAAGGGCATTATGAATTTCTGGTTATGCTGTTTGGGTTGACCAATGCGCCAGCTATGTTCCAAGCCCTTATGAATGACATATTTCAACCCCATTTGCGCAAATTTATACTCGTTTTTTTTTATGATATACTTGTATATAGCGCTACATGGGACGACCACCTAGTACATCTACAAATCACCTTGGAACTGCTAAGGACTCATAAACTTCTTGCAAAGGAGTCAAAATGCACATTTGGGCAGACACAAGTACACTATTTAGGGCATGTGGTCGAAAACGGCATTGTAGCAGCAAACCCGAAAAAGATCTCAAGCATGATAAATTGGCCCCGACCTCAAAATGTTAAGGAGTTACGAGGCTTCTTGGGTTTAACAGGGTACTACCGGCGATTCATTAGAGGGTATGGACTGATTGCTGCCCCCTTGACAA